CTCTTGCTCGACCCAAGGAAGCCTGGAGTGCTCTTGGGCCTTGCCAGGGGAGAGCAGAGCTGCCACACAGAGCCCAAAGGCTCCACAGCCCTGCAGCACCTGGAGATGCTCCCAGAGCTGCTCCAGGAGCTTGGAGTTTCCTCCCCTAAAGACTGGCACGGCCAGTGGTGCTGGCACCTTCGGAGAGGGGTCCTGGTGGTCGGTGCTGCCTGGAGAAAGCTCCCAGGAAAAGACAGACCCCCTCCCAGGTGTCCCCCTGCCTCGTCACACCTCTTGCTTCCTCCAGCTCTGGGGTGAAAAAGCAGCAGGTGGTTTGGTGGTGATGCTCGCTGGAGAGTCCCAGCCCTGTGCCAAATGCAATTCCCACATGGATGACGGGGCTGCTTCGACCATCTCCAGCTTCTTGGGAAATGTTACTCAGCCCCAGGATGGAAGTGACGTCAGAGCGCGGGAGGAGAGACAGGGGAGTTTCCCTCCACCCCCAGGAAAGGTTGCTCAGTCATTAAACCTGACATTTAAGCCTTCACTTCTTGGAAGTGAAGCAGAATAATTAAAGTGTTCGAAGGGCTCAGCTCTTCCCAGCAGCACTGGAGAGGCCAAACCAGTTTCGGGGCTGCTGAGAGAGCGAAGTCGCAGCCGCCCCGTTGTCGCCCCAGCGAAGCCCCACACGGGGCTGGAAGGACCAGGCTGGGGGCTGAAATCCCAGCAAACCCTGTGAAATCCCAGTGAAGCCCGTGAAATCCCAGTAAACGCTGTGAAATGCCAGGAAACCCTCCCCATGTGCTGCCACGGGCTCTGCGGGAGAGGCCGCTCGCTCCCAGGGAGGGTTTTGTGCTCCCCCGGCTCACACTCAATTAACACCACGCAGCCAAAACGACACGATGCTCCTCAGCCTCTCAGCGCCTCTGGACACGAATTTAAGAAAAAAAAACAAAAACAAACAAACAAAAAGAAAAAGCTTTTTTCAGAGTCCAAATGGACCCATTCATAAGACGCAGCTGCGGCACGCGAGGAACCCTTTTCCCCCTTAAAAAAGACAATTAAACCACTTCCTTCTGGAGCTCCCCAGAGCCCTGTTACTGAGCTGCTTTCCATGAGATTTATCAGGCAGCGGACTGACAGCTTTCTGGGAAAAAAAGTGGGAGCTCCCAGAGCAGCTCAGCACCAGCCTGTGCAGGGGAAGCTCCCCGGGTTGCCACATCCCTCGTGCCACCCCTCACCTCCACTCCTAGGCTGGAAGAAACACTTTTTTTTTCCCCTGCAAGACCTGGAGTGGCTGCAGCTTCCCGGGAGCTGGGCAAGACCTGGCAAGGGCTGGTGGTGCCACGGGACCGGCAGGTTTTCGTTCCCTGACACAAGTCAGCTCATGCCACCCCTTCCCCCGTGGATTTGATTAGGGGTGAAACCCTCCCCTCACGCCCCCAGACCACGGGCAGAGGCTGCTCCGTGCCAGGCACATCCACACAGGCATGGGAAGGTGACAATTCCCACCCCCAGGGAGCCCAGACACTCCCAGCCTGCCCCAGTGTGAGGACCAAAGGAGCCACAAACATCACTTTCAGGAAGGTCGGAAAGACTTAAAGAGGAAAAAAAATCCCTCTCCGAGGAACGGGAGCTAATCTCATTCCCTGGCAGGAATCAAGCACTTGGGGGCTCCCTAAATGTTCTGTGGGGTGGGAGTGAGTGAGCCTGGGGACACACTGAACCCGATTACAGCCACCAGTGCTCCCAGTAATGTGGTTAGAAAGGAGCAGCCGCTGGAGCAGCCACAGCCCCCGGCAGCGAAGATCAAACAGCAGAGCAGACAGAGCAAGGTGTGCTCTGAGCCCTCTGAGACTCTCACCAACCCCCTGAGCCCCCCCAGCAGCACAGGGCCCCCTCACTGCCACCTCCAGAGTCTGGGAAACCAGAAGGGAAGAGAGGGACAGTCCCCAGATAGCCAGGTTTGGGTTTCCAGGATCATCGACGCAGCAATGCCACCCTTCCTGACTCCTTTGTAAAGGGTGGTTGGATATTTCTGTACAGATGATTAGATATTTCTGTACAGATGATTAGATATTGGGAAGAAATTCCTCCCTGGGAGGGTGGGGAGGCCCTGGCACAGGTTGTCCAGAGAAGCTGTGGCTGCCCCTGGATCCCTGGAAGAGTCCAAGGACAGGCTGGAGCCACCTGGGATAGTGGAAGGGTTTGGAACAGGATGATCTTTAAGGTCCCTCCCAACCCAAACCACTCCGTGATTCCACGAGCTGGTTTAGATGAGATATTAGGAAGAAATTCCTCCCTGTGAGGATGGTGAGGGGATGGGATGGATTTCTCAGAGGAAGCTCCATCCCTGGGAGTGTTCAAGGCCAGGTTGAAGCAACCTGGTCTAGTGGAAGTTGCTCCCTGCCCACGGCAGGGGGGTGGGACTGGGTGGTCTTTAAGGTCCCTCCCTACCCAAACTACTCTCCAAGAGGTGTCAGAGCCACCAGGAGACCCTGCAGGGGCTGCAGACCCTGCAAACACACCCAGCCTCCCCCATCCAAAGGCGCAGGGACTCGTCCCCCAGCAAACACACGCGGGGCAGGTGGATGTGCTGCTCCCTCTCCAAGACAGGAGCTGGGGGCTGGAGTCCAGGCACAAATTCCATCCAACCTGGATGGGAAAAGCCTGTTCAACGACCCGGGAGAGGGGCCAAGAGAGCTGGGGCACGGCAGGGACACGAGGGCCGGGTGGGACGAGCGTCACGGGGCAAACCCTCGGCGCCTTTGCCGGGCAGAAAAACCACCCGGCCCTTTACAAGCCCTTTACAAACCCTTTACAAGCCCTTCTCTGCCACATTAGTGAAAGATCTCTGTAAGATCTCACGTCGCAATTAGGCAACAAACCCTTACGTGTGCAGGTAAAAAGCAGAAAATATTTGCAAGTGCTGTTGCCCCGACTGGAAGGAACGAAGTAAACAGATTTCCAGATTACGGCTCGGGCACCGCTTCAAAAATGCCTCCAACCTGACTCCTCGCTGGCACCACATTTGTCACTCAAACCACAGAAATCAAACAGAGCCCTCGCTGCTCGAGCCCCCCGGACCTGTGAGCCACGGGAGGCCCCACTGGCACCCTGGCTGGATTGCTGTGACGAGGGATTTTTTACGGGAGCGACGCGTCCTTTGTCAAACTGCCCTTCAACAAATAAATGAAAGCGACTTTTCACGCAGCAGCAACGCTGACAGGGGGCTGGCAGAGCTTCCCTTGGCGCAGCTTCGCCGTGTTGGGGCTGTTTTTGGCTGGCCATGGGAAGAGGGAAAGGGGAAATTCAGCCCCAGCCCGGCTCGGGCTCTGCCCTCATTCCGCCCCGCGAGCCTCATCCGTGCACACACATCCTCCCTGGACCAACTTGATGCAAGAGCTTGCAGACACTGGGGCAGGTCTCGAGACCTTTTGCCAAGCAGGATGAGCAAGCCTGGCACACCCCAGCCCGAGCAGAGGCCACTGGCACCGATAAGAGCACCAACCCAGGGAAGTCTCAGTTGCGGCATCGCAGGAGCGCCCACAGACCCCTGGCCCTGCCCTGGGGAGCAAACACAGCCCAGGAGACAAGAGCCAGCCTGAAACACGGCCAGTT